AATAACTGGAGAGTAGTAACAAACAAAGCCCAGAGCAAGTAGATGGAATGAAATTATCAAGGTCAGAATAGAATTAAATGACATAGAGAATAAAAGAGCAATGCAAAAGATTGATAAATCCAGGAGCTGTTTCTTTGAAAAGATAAAGAAAATCAACAAGCCTATAGCCAGACTCATTAAGAAAAAAGTGAGAGAGAACCCAAATAAGGCAGAAACAAAAGAGAATTTACAACTGATAACCACAGATTGTAAGAAATTACTGCCAAAAACTGTATGTGGAGAAATTTCACAACCTGGGTCAAATGGACATAGTTCTAGGAACATAAAATCTTCCAAAAATGAATGAAGAAGAAGCAGAAAGCCTGAACAGATAGATAAAAGCTGTTGAAATTAAAGCAGTAATCAAAAAACTCTGTCACACTAAAGCCCTGGACTGGATGGTTTCACTGGAGAATTTTACAAAACATTTAAGGAAGAGCTGATTTCTGTCTTTATCGAACTATTCCCAAAAATCCAAGAAGAGGAAAGACTCATAAATTTTTTTATGAAGCCATCATCATTGTAATTCCAAAAGAAGATAAAGATACAACAAAGAAAGAAGACTACAGGCCAATGTCACTGATGAATATAGATGCTAAAATCCTCAGAAAAATATTGGCAAACTGCATCCAGCAATACATGAAAAAGATCATACACCATGATCAAGTGGGATTCATCTCAGGGATGCAAGGATGGTACAGTATTCGCAAATCAATAAATAAAATGCATCACGTAAACAAAAGGAGACACAAAAATCACATGATCTTATCAATAGATGCTGCAAAAGCATTTCATGATGTACAGCCCCTATTTATGATAATAACACTCAGCAAGGGGGGAGTAGGGGGAGCATACCTCAAAATAATAAAGGCCATATATGAGAAACCTACAGCCAATATCATACTCAGTAAGCAAAATCTAAAAGCTTTCCCATTAAGATCAGGAACAAGACAAGGGTGTCCACTTTCACCCCTTCTATTCAACATAGTATTGGAAGTTGTAGCCATAGAGATTTGATAAGAAAAAGAAATGAAAGGCATCCAAATTGGAAAGGAGGCAGTAAAACTGTTATTGTATGCAAATGACATGATAGTGTACATAGAAAACCCTATAGACTCCACCAAAAGACTACTTAACCTAGGAAGTGAATTTGGCAAAACAGCAGAATACAAAGTCAACATACAGAAATTGAAATATCAGAAATAAAAAAAATCCTATTTGATATAGCAACAAGAAAAATAAAGTACCTAGGCATAAACATAACCAAGGAAGTAAAAGACCTGTATTCATAAAACTACACAACACTGAACAAATTAAGGAAGACACAAATAAGTGGTAGTATGTACTGTGTTCATGGCTTGGAAGAAATAACATCAAAATGTCCATACTACCAAAAGCAATTTATAGTTCAGTGTAATAATTATTAAAATGCCAATGATAGATTACACAGATACAGAACAAATATTTCAGAAATTTATATGTAACCATAAAAACCCCAAATAGCATCAGCAATTTTGAAGAAGAAGAATAAAGAATGAGAGATCATAATATGTGTCATCAAACTGTATTACAAGGCTGCTGTAATCAAAACAGTCTGGCACTGCCATAAGAATAGACATATAGATCAGTGGAACAGAATAGAGAGCCCAGAGATCAACCCATGTCTCTATGGTCAATTAATAATTTGACAAAGCAGGCAGACATGTGAAATGGATTAAAAATAGCCTTTTCAACAAATGTTGGGAGATCTGGACAGCTACATGCAAAAAAATGAAACTTCACCACCAGCTTACACCATACACAAAAACAAATTCAAGGTGGATAAAAGACTTAAATATAAGTCACAAACCATAAAAGTCCTAGAGGAGAACACAGGCAAGAAAATAGCAGATATTGTACACAGCAGTATTTTCACCAATATGTTTCCTAGAGCAAGGGATATAAAGGGCAGAACAAATGGGACTATGTCAAATTAAAAAGCTAGTACATGGATAGAAAAGACATCAGCAAAATGAAAATGGAACTGACCGTATGGGAAAAAATACATTTGCCATTGATACCTTGGACAGAGGTTTTATCTCCAAAACATTTAAATAACTCACATAACTCCACATGAGGAAGACCAGTTAAAAACTGGACAAAGGACCTGGATGATGCGGACTCCTTCCAGCGGGGTCCGTATGTTGTAGATGTAACAAACAAATTCACATGGACTATAGAAGTCCTGTGGAGAAAAGGACAGCATGGCCATTCTCAGAGAGAGAGAGTGTGCCTCGACCGTTGCCTGAACAGTCTTTTATTGGCTTTCTAATAGTATACATTAAAGAAGTTTCTCATTCATTATGCTCAGGTTTGCTTTAGGTGATTTCTTTTTACAGATTACAAAGGAAAGGATGTTACTGATTACTTACAGATGAACAAGGAAAAAATGTTGTAAATGCAAGAGAATGATAAGTTTGATTGGTCTGGTTACACTTTAGTCCTTGGGAGAATTAGCACAGAAATTTTTGGAAGTTGCTTTAAAGATATGCAGTAAACATTTGCTGCTTCAACTCAGGGTGAGGGATTTTTAGCAAGAGCAAGTCTCAAAGCAGCCTAGGTATAATGCAGGCCTATTTTTCCCATGGGAAAGCCAATCCGTGGGTTTGGCTCCTGTGTGCTGACTCGCTCCTGTCGGCTTTCTGACAGGGCTGGGCTACATTCGCCATGCCAGGCAGATTGGTTTCTTATATTTCTCCCCTCATTTTTAGTTATGATTGCCACAAAACTTCTTGGTTTTCAGATAGGTCTGGGCTACATTCGTCATGCTAAGTGGATCAGTTCCCTATACTTGAAACAGACACTTTTCCAAGGAGGACATACAGAGGGCCCAGAAACTTATGAAAGAATGCTTAGCATCACCAGCCATCAGAGAGATGCAAATTAAAACCACAATGAGATACCACTTCATATTGGTAAGAATGGCCATCATAAACATATCAACAAAGTGTAAGTGCTGGCAAGGTTGTGGAGAAAAGGGAACCCTAGTGCACTGTTGGTGAGAATGCAGACTGGTGCAGCCACTGTGGAAACGATGAAATTTCCTAAAAAAAACAAAACTAAACTAAAAATGGAACAATTGCCTTTTGATTTGACAATTCTGCTGTTGCGATTATATCCTAAGAATCTTGAAACACCAATTCAAAAGAACTTACGCACTTAAGTGTTCATAGCAGTGTTATTTATAATAGCTAAGTGCTAGAAGCAGCCTAAATGCACATCAGTAGATGAGAGAATTAAAAAACTATGATATATTTACATAATGGAATAGTACAGAGCAGAAAGGTAGAAGGAACTCCTACCCTTCGTGACAGCATGGATGGATTTGGAGAGCATTATGCTAAGTGAAGTAAGCCAGGCAGTGAAAGACAAACAGCATGTGCTCTCACCTATAAGTGGAACCTAATCAACAAAACAAACACTTGAGCAAAATATAACTAGAGATATGGAAATAAGGAACAAACTGACATTGACCTGAGAGGAGGGGAAAGGACAATACAGGGGCATGAATGGGAGGGTGAATTCAAAGGATAGATATGAAGGACCCATGGACAAGGACAACTGTGGGGGAGGATTGAATATGGGAGATGGGGTATGCGCAGGGCAGGGGAGATAAATGGGGGGAAAATGGAGACAACTGTAACTGAACAACAATAAAGACATTAAAAAATTAAAAGTTTGCAGAGATGCTATTGTTAAAATTTATGTAATATTCTTTTAATATTGACAGTCTTTAAGATGTATTTTGATAACCATAGATAGTAAGCTTTTGGTTCCTAAATTTTATTGATGTTTTCAGTAAAAAATAATCTTATCTAGGTTGTAGAAAATAACTTACAAATGCTATCATGGAATTCTGCGATTATCAGAAAGCCACCAGCTTTGTACTGTCTATACTGTTAGTGTCTGCTAAATGCTTTGTCCTAAAAGTGTATAGAGGTAGTCAAAGTAGGGTTAATTGACATTCATGCTCTAAGAAAAAAGTTTCATGCCTTCCATTTTACTGCTAAAGAATCTCAATTCGTTTAATTTACTGCTTGTAGCAGACTTTGCGTGACAAAGCTACCTATATGAAAATTCTGACATTTTCTCATTTAATGACCAGTCTACTTAAGAAAGAATACTTACATAAGTTAATAGTTAGACCTTTTAAGGCAGAATTTCTCCTGCCATAAATAAATTAATTTTTTACTATGGCCAGCTGTGTATGTGGTATTTTGCCAAGTACTTTGGAGGAAATTGAGGTCCAGGCACATTTTAAATATTGGGCCTTATTCAAGGTAATGTGTCCTAATAAACCACAGAGGCACAGAACAGTTCTGTGTGATATTAGAGCTTCTGTTCTTTCTTTCCACTGTAATATCGTTTTTTTTTTTTTTTGGTATAGTAGTCTCCCTTTATACATGGGAGATGTATTGTAAGACCTTCCTTGGATGCCTGAAATTATGGGTAAAGAGTATGAAACTCAATATAGTTTTTTTTCCCTATATATACCTATGATAAAGTTTAATATGTAAATTAGTCCCAACAAAGAAATGAACAACAATAATAAAATAGAACAATCATAACAACATACTGTAATAATAGTTATGTGAATAACTATTATTGATCTCAAAGTATCCCATTGTAGTATACTCACTCTTGTGATGATGGGAGATAAAATAGTGCCTGTGTGATGATATGAAGTAATGTGGATATGCTGGATAAAGGGATGATTCATATCTTGAGCTGGACAGTTAATGATTTCATTCTGCTACTCAGAATATCACCCAGTTTAAAAATTATGAATCATTTATTTTTGGAATTTTCCATTGAATATTTTTAGCCTGGTTGACCACTGGTAACTGAAACCACAAAAAGTAAAAATGCAGATAAGGTGTGGGGAGTACTGTATATAATTTAAATTGTAAATTTCTTTTCAGGTTAAGAGGACAACTCTAGTGGACAGCAGAACATCTGTTACTGATGTGAAATTTGCTCCTAAGCATATGGGTCTTATGTTAGCAACCTGTTCAGCAGATGGTATAGTAAGAATATATGAGGCACCAGATGTCATGAATCTCAGTCAGTGGTCTCTACAGCATGAGATCTCATGTAAGCTAAGCTGTAGTTGTATTTCTTGGAACCCTTCAAGGTAAGCTTACATGGCATACTTCTGATAATCTAATCCTAGAAAAACAAATTAGTAATTTTTAAGCATTTGATGATTTATTTTCTTAATAATCCTTTTCTTAGTCATGTTCATTATTTTTAATCTAATTTAATATGTATTATTATGTTATTAAATTATTAATTGTTATATATTATTAACATATGTTATGTAGAATAACATTTTTTCCTTCTCCACCCCTTCTTTTGACCCCCTATTTCTACTGCACAGAAGAAACCAGCCATTTAAGATGTTTTGGTATATACCTTCTGGGCTTTTTCCATGGACATACAAATAAATATTTAATGCTTATATAAATACACAAATAAATGCAAATATATACAGGTGTATACTATCACGTACAGGTAGACACAAAAACACATACGACATTTATAGACATACATTTCTTGCACTTTTTTTCACTTATAAATAAATTGTGGGCATTTTTCTGTGCATTATTATATCTAGTCAGTCCTACATTATTCCTTTAACTACCATATAGAGTGTGACTCTAAGACAGTACCATAATTGCTTTCTATTAAATTGTTTTAAAAATTAAAGAAGCCCTGGTTGGTGTGGCTCAGTGGATTGAGCTCTGGCCGGTGAACCTAAAGGTCACAGGTTGATTCCCAATCAGGGCACATACCTGGGTTGCAGCCCAGGGTCCCCAGTTGAGGGCATGGGAGAGGCAAACGATCCATGTATCAGTTGCTCATTGATGTTTCTTTCCCTCTCTTTCTCCCTCCCTTCCCTTCTCTTTAAAAAAGTAAATAAATAAGATCTTTAAAAAAATTAAAGGAATAATGAATCACTTGGTAAAAAAAAAATCAAGTAATCTAGAAGAGTATAACATGAAAAGTAAAAGTTTCTCTATCTCCTAAGAAAATGCTCTTGTTGTTAATGGTTTTGTTTTTAGATTTTAATTCTGGTAGTCAACTATTCTATTTTTAAATGATTTACTTATACCCCTTGTTCTTCCTATTTTCTATACTCAATATGTGAAAGAAGAATTTGGTATATTTATAAAACTTTTCTCTTCCTGATGTGTCACTAGATATTTGTGGAGCTGTTGATAGTTGTTTTAATTATGGTAGTAATTATCATAATTTCAAATGATGTTTATTTTTCTATTTAAAAAAGAAGTTAGCTTATTTTGCTTCTCCCTTCCATTTCCTAATATTGTATTGCTTACATACTGGCAAAATTCACAATATTTATATTTACACTGTCATTCATACATTTGTAAATATTTTGACTTTTGACTAGAAGTTGATTCTAAAAATTAAGCAGTAACCAAATTTACAATATTAGGTTATGTAAGTATTTATTATAGGTGCAAATGTAATCTATTACATAAGAACTGTTGTTCACACAGAATAATCTGGTGTTCACTTTTGTGCTGTATTTTGTTTCTTGATTCCTTTTCTTGTGGTTTATACTTGGCTGTCACTGTTTTCATATCACCTCTTGTCTTCATACTTTTTTCATTTTGACAGCATATCTCCTAAAGTAATTTTTATCCATAGGGGATGGCTGGCAAACTCTTTGAATGTTTGCATACCTAACAATGGCTTAACTTTACCCCATGCTTAATTGTAATTTAGCTAGTTTTAGAGTTCCAAGTGGTGCGTAAGAATTTCAAAGATTTTGTTCTTTAAATGTTAGATGTCTGAGGTCAGTCCGATGCTGGTTCTTTGTAGGTAGCCTGTTCTTTCTGGAAGTTTTTAGGATTTTGTCTTACTACTTTTGGCTCTGTTTGAAAGTGTATTTTCCTAGTTTGTGGTTTGTCCTCTTGACACTATGGTGACTTGATAGTTAAACAGAGAGTAGTGAACTATAATGTAACCATAGTCATTCCTTCATTGTTATAGTGCTTTTATTTTTATTTGAGAAAATCTTCCCCACCTTCAGGTTGTCTACTGTATTCTGGAAGGTTGGTTTTGCCTTTCACATTTAGGGCAGTAACCCCCCTTGATTGCTTTGAATGTGGTTTGAGGTAGTAGAATTCTAAAATATAACAGGATGTTTCTAGACTTTTTTCCTTTTATTATTATTTAAAAAAATGTTTTTTATCCTTACCTGAGGACATTTTTTTTCCATTGCTTTTAGAGAGAGAGGGAGGGAATTGAACCTGCAACCTTTCAGTCCACAGGATGGTGCTCCAACCAACTGAGCCACAATGACCAGGGTGGTATTTTTTCTTTAAAAAAAATTTTTTTTGTAAATTTCAGATATTCCAAAAGTAGTAATAGAAGTACAGAAGGATCCTCACATGTCTATTACCCATCTATAACTCAAAACTACTCTTGATTTATAATATGTATATATGCCTTCTTCCCCAATTATCCCCACCTCCCCACAAAAAAAGACTGTATTAAAGTAAATGGAGACACATACTAACACGTATTGGTCTTTTTTGATTCATCCTGCTTGATGCTTAGTGATTTCTTTCAAAATACAGATTTCTTGTCTCAAATTGGGGATCCTCTATGATTCTTTAACAGTTCTCTTCTATTATGTCTGTTCTATCTTTCTGGAACTTATCTTTGATTATTCTAGGCTCATTTTCCATTTCTTTAAAGTTGTACTACTCTATCCCCCAGATCTCCAACTTATTCTCCAGGCACATATTTTGTACCATCCTTTTGTTTGGGGGAGTGGAGTGTGGGTAGGTGGCAGATTGGCAGTCATTTTAATTGTTAAGAAGTCGTCTTTTTCTCTGGTTACTCTTTCACCAACACAAAGCACAAAAATGCGGAAAACATGGTGGTAAATTGAGTGCAAAAGAGATAACTTGCTTTCAGTATGAGAGCTGAAACAAGAAGGTAGAGCCTCACTTTGTACTACCTCAGCATGGAATGTGTATGTCAGGTGACTCAAATTTTTTGTAGAGCTGCTTCAGACATGTTCATGAATGACTGAAAACTGCAAGTATACTAGATTTTGGGGGTTACAAATAAATTGTAGCAATTAGGTTAGTTTACGAATCTAGAATCTGCAAATAATGAGGATCTGTGTCTATTTTCTCAAAGATCTGTATACGTTCATCTTTGTCTTTCATACATGTGTCTTTGTTTTCTTTGAGTATGTGTTAGTCTTTACTTAATCTGTTTATTTTTATGACGAGATTATTATGGCTAAGTAGAGAAAACTGGTATTTTTATTTTTCTTCTGTTAGGTGCTCTGTTTTCTTAATAGCTCACCCACTTACCTACAGGTTTGGCTGAGTTTCATCTAAGTTAGGTTCGGTGGTTAGCAGGATTTCTTGGTAGGGAATTCTGAAATGCCAAAGTCAGGAGGACCTGATTTGGGGAATGGAGCATTTTAATGTATTTTGTTCCTTCTTGTCCCTCTCCTTGCCAATGTCTGAGTACTGTATTTTAAGTTCTTATTTCTTCTTTTTTGCATTCTAAATCATCTCACTAGAATCCTTTCTCAAACTTTTAGCCTAGAACAGAGTTATCTGCCAGCCTTGGTGGTCTTTTAATTGCAGTTCTTTAAATGAATCACCTTAGGACTCATTCCAATTCACTCCATTTTTTGATTGAAGGTTGGAGGTTCTGGAATTTCATCCTTACTGATTGCCATATGGGCTTTTGTTCCCCTTTGCATTTTCTGTCTCACTTTCTGCTTCCTCTTTTGGGATTCTTCCAAAATTTTAAATTTCTGATGGCACACTGATTTCTAGCACTGTTGTAGTGTTACTCTTTTCATCATTTCCATGGAACCTTAGGAGGGAGGAGGAGTTGTGGATAATCAGTTTGCTATATACAGAGTGCTGGGTGATTTTTCTTACTGGGTCATGTTTGGAAGACATTTTCAATGTAAACATGTTATTTCAGGATGTACAAATGAGGTAATCCTCAGTTCAGTTGTTATTCCAGATATTTTATAATTTTATTTAAAAATGCTTTAGTTTGAAAGATATTTTTAATAATTTTAGAATATGTTACTGTAAATGTATTTTTGCTTTTTGCTCAAATATGTAACATAGTTTTTAAAAAGTTATAGAACATTAAAAAAGATTTTGTGAGATACCAAAATTACTGTGGAATTTATATCTCTTGGAATGGTCAAGGTTTATTGTAGTATAAATAACTTGGAATTTTATTACTAGAGAGCTTGGCAGTTTTCCTGGTATTTTTCTTATTTAGGTAACTTGATTCATTATCAGAAACTTTAGTAATCAAGCTTTAGGAATAAAGAACTAAGCCTTTTTTTTAATTACCACATTCCGTTTTCAGGTTTATGAGTTGGCGTATCACAAGACCAAGGTTAAAGTTTAAATAAGGGTGTCATATTCATAGAGATATTACTTAGTCTGCATGAGGGAGGGAAAGGAAATCAATATCTAGGTAATTAGATATTAAATAAAAATAAATCACTTAGCCTAGAGTTCAGTGGAGTTCATTCTCTCATTGCTTATCTTTTTGCCTTTTAAAATGAGTCTGGAGAAGAGAATGACATGTGGGGAGCATGCCTTGTTGCGGGGTTTCTTCTTTTTTTGTACAAAGTATTTAAAATCTTTTTGTCATGACTTTGGTACCATAGAGTTACTTTTTATTCCACAGTTAATGACCAGGTCTTTCAGGAAGAAAAATTTGAGGACCTTGTAGGGGGTTTTTTTTTCCCTTCTTTTTTTTAAAAACCTATTGAGTGCTTGAAACCTTTTAGGGAAGAAAGCTGCTTTCTCAGCTATAATAAAATGCAAAAATAATGCAAAAGGATGGTAGTCTTGATCCCCATGTTGAGCATTCCCAAGGACACACACTCCCAAGGTGCTGCTGTGTTGAGTGTATGTCAGGGATTTAATCATTGTTTTGCCGACTTGTAGGTTGTAGAGCTGCTTGATGCCAATTTAAAAGAAAATAAAATTTGTGAGTTAAATATAATTAATTTAATTGTTATGTGAAATATTTTTTATGTTTTATTTCTAGCTCTCGTGCTCATTCCCCCATGATAGCTGTAGGAAGTGATGACAGTAGTCCAAATGCAATGGCCAAAGTTCAGATTTTCGAATATAATGAAAACACCAGGTCAGTACTGCTTTAAGTATTGTTCCAAATTGCATTTAATTTTTAAGAATGATGTTTCTTTATTCATTAACTGAATTATGCATTATTTATTACATATTTGCCAATTTCCTGTGATATGGCATGTTCTTTGATAGACTATGATAATATAAAATTGAATGATACAGAGGACAAGGCAATTGATTTCCCAGTACTATCTTGCAGGGAAAGCAAACAAAACAATTAAAAATGGTGATGAATTTTATAAACCAGGAGAACAAGTTTACACTCAGGGAGAGGGTGCCAGGAAGGTCCATTCAAAAGCAGACCTATAAGATGAGTAGAAGTTAGCCAAAGAGGGGAAAACATTCCAGATGGAGAAAACTGTATGTGATATGGTTCGTGAACAAGAGAGCCAATATATTTTTTCCTGTGTTTGGAACATAGGCAAAGAATAGTGTGGTGAGAAATATGCAAGGCTTATATATACAAGACTTTGTGTTCAGTGTTTAGGATTTGTCTCATAAGTAATATGAAACCTTTGAAAGATTATATAGTTGGGGAATAACAGGATCAAATGATAGTTAAACTCTTCTATATGTGTCGAAAGTATTTTGGAAGGGAACATGAGTGGATTTAGGGCAAGATGCTATTATAATAGCCCATGTGGGAGATTATAGTGGCTTTGAAACAGTAGTGGCAATGGGGACGGAGAGAAGTGAATAATTTAAAAAGTAGTATCAACAGGATGTAGTGGATGATTGGATGTGGGAGGTGAAGAAGAAGAGGAGAATATCAAGATGATTTCCAAGGATCTGGCTTAATAATTCAATGGGTAGTGTGTAATTTCTTGAGATAAGGAATTTTGGAAATAGGTCCGATTTGGGTAGAGTGTAGGAATACGTGAAGAAAATTTTAATTTTGATCATGTTGTGATGTATGTATTCAGAGTCTTCATAGGAGAAAAAAGCACCCATTAGGTGATTGGCTGGGCTTCACATATGCCAGATAAAATTCTTGTGTCTAGTAGTCAGATATTCCATGGAGCCAGAAGTAGAAGAGAAGAACTATTATAATTCCTATGTGTTTTGCAATTCAGAATGTTACTACTTAGGTTCTTAAGGGATTCTTACACCTGCCTTCTACCTTCCTAGATTCTTGATTTCTTTAGCGAGGCTTTGTCTGTGGTGGTACTGTCCAGTTGAACTTGCTGTGATGGTGGAAATGGTCCATATCCGCACATCTGATGTAGAAACTTGAAATTTGGCTACTACAGCTGAGAAACTGGATTTGTTAATTTATATCAATTTAATTTTAAATAGGCATATTTGGCGAGTGGCTGCTGTGTATTGGCCAGCACACTTCTAGAATGTAGAATGGAAACCTTCTTTTAGGACTCCTTTTAAGCTACCAAAGCTATGAACCACATTAATAGCACATTTTAAACAGGTTTCATGAACAGCTAATGTTGTTAAAGTAGTTTCTTTTGACCGTAGCTGAACAGAGTGAATGTAAGCCATAAGTCATAAAACTTAAAAGGTGGACCATTTCTAAAACATAGAAATAGAAAGTACTTTATAAATAAGGTTTTTTTTTAAGTGGTGGAAAGTGTTTAAAACTTTTTTAAAGGTTTTATTTATTAATTTTTAGAGAGAGGGGAAAGGAAGGAGAAAGGGAGAGAAACATCAGTGTGTGGTTGCCTCTCCCATGCCCCCCAATGGGGATCTGGCCTGCAACCTAGGCATGTGTCCTGACTGAGAATCGAATTAGTGACCCTTTGGTTTAGAGGCCAGCACTTAATCTACTGAGCCACACCAGCCAGGGCACTTATATAAATAAGTATTGAGTAAAGGGATAAAGAACTTGGATTTAAAAAAAAAATTACTGATTGATTTTAGGGGGGGGAAGGGGAAACATTGATTTGTAGTTCCACTTATTCATGCATTTATTGGTTAATTCTTTTATGTGCCCTGACTGGGAATTGATCCTGCAATCTTGGTGTATGATGATGATACTCTAACTGAGCTACTTGGCCAGGGTTAAGAACTTGGATTTAGTTCCAAAACAAAATACAGGGCAGATAGAAAGTACCTAAATATTTAAAAGAATCCAGTGATAAAGATAATCCATGGTTGTATATAAGTCTCTATGGTAGGAGAATACATATACATAGATCAGGGGCTGGATCTCCTATATTGTCTCATATAACAAGGAGCCTCACTGTGGAGAAATTTTGGAGTTAATTAAGTGGCTCAGTTGCTTTCTTCACATGTCTGTCTTCTCTCTGTCTTTGTTTTTCTTCTTCTGTCTTTTACAGTGTCATTCAACACTAAATCCAGGGAATGTTCTCATCCCAAAATCTTTTAATTATATCTGTAAGGGCACTTTTTCCAAATTAGGCTACATTCACAATTTCAGGGGTTAAAACTTGGACATACTACATACTGCAGAGGTAAACATTACTTTATTGTGAGCAATATAAAAAAATTGAGGTACATTGATGTGTGGAATTTTAAAATGTTTATTTCTGGAATTTTTAATGTAAATTAATTGGTTTTTTTTTTCACTAGGAAATATGCAAAAGCTGAAACCCTCATGACAGTTACTGATCCTGTCCATGATATTGCATTTGCTCCAAACTTGGGAAGGTCTTACCACATTCTAGCCATAGCAACCAAAGATGTGAGAATTTTTACATTAAAGCCTGTGAGGTGAGTTTTCAAAGCAATTACTAATTTGAAATATTATTATGCTAAGCGAAATAAGCCAGGTAGTGAAAGACAAATACCATATGATATCACCTTTGACAGGAACCTAAACAACAAAACAAAGAAACAAGCAAAATATAACCAAAGACACTGAAATAAAGAACAGACTGACAGAGTTCAGAGGGGAGAGAGGGAATTTCAGGGGAAAAGGGGAAGGGTTTACAGGAACCTAGGGGTGGGTGGAAATGGGAGGGAGGAGGGGGGAGGCTTGGGTAGGTGGGTTGGGATGGGAGTAAAAGATAGAAAATTGTACTGCAACAACAATTTAAATAAAATTTAAAAAAAAAGAAAGTGTTCTTAACTCTTGATTATTTTCGTGTGTGGGGAAGAGTGTAGAGGCTATTGAGATCTGAAGAATGAATTCCTTAATGAACATTTCATCCATAAATATATGGGGGATGAGGAACTGAGTAAAGAGATTTATATTTTCTTAATTTTAATTTTTTATTTTTTAATTGTTATTGTTTTATTATAGTTGTCCCAATTTCCCTCCATTGTTCTCCCCTGCCCCGCCCTATCTTAATTATGTTTTATTCATGCTGTTACCAACAATGAATTAGAACCTCTGAATATACTTGGTATTCTATAAATGATTGAGTGAATGATAGGTGACAGACCAAAGAAAATTAAATTAGCACTGAGACATTGTTGTGAATAACTTTTTAGTTTATTATTTAGTTATTATTTTAATTTTGGAATTGTTTTATGTCTTTTTTCATTCCTTTTTTCTCCTTTCTTTTCTCCTTCTATTGTTTTCTTTCTGCTGCTTTTCTTTTAAAATGAATCATCTGTTTTATTCCTCTACTTTGGGGGAATAAAATCTTCTGTTGTATCTTCTATCAAACAGGCAATCATTATCTTTTACGTGGTAGGATCACAGCAGGTACTGGGGAGTCAATTGAACATAACACGGCCCATTGAGCTAATAGGAGTAGGGTATGGGTATGCAAATTATTACTATAAAATAATATGGGATGTAGGTGAGACCATATATTTTTGTTTAGGTAGATATTCTGTGTGTGTGTGTATGCATGTGTTTAAACCTTTTCCAAAAATTCCTCAGGAGCATTTTTTTGTTAACAGGAAAGAACTTACATCTTCTGGTGGGCCATCAAAATTTGAAATCCATATAGTGGCTCAGTTTGATAATCATAATTCTCAGGTATGGCGAGTGAGTTGGAATATAACAGGAACAGTGCTGGCATCTTCAGGTGATGATGGCTGTGTAAGATTATGGAAAGGTGAGGTTTCAATGAAGAATTATTGCTTTATGTTGCTGCTTTAAAATTTTCACTTAGAAATGCATGCTCTAAACATTTAGAAAAAATGATCTTTCCACAGTTACTTTTAAATTATGTCTTACATTAATTTGTTATTTTGAATCTTCATCAGTTTACCTAGTTCATTGCATTTAGTGACTAATTAAATTGTTTAAGTTTCCATGTGGAACCAAGCAATGTTAAAAACTAAAATAATTGTAATAGAATATGCAGTATAGTCAAGATACTATTTGCTCTATGTGTAACATGCAAACTCAGGATAGGACTAGAGTCACCTTTTTTATTAAACAATTGCTTTAATGAATCAGCTATTAGTATGAGAAAATCCAGCCTGTTTCTCAGTTCCCCTCTGCAAAAATTCAAGACTCCCAAATTCAAATCTCTGAAAAAATTCAAGAATTTTGAGGTCACTGATTCTAAAGGTTTCTTATAAATGCCATGCTGAGAGAGACTTTGGTCTGTGTAGGCAACATTGTGGTTGTTGTAGTATGGTCTACACTTTTACATGGATGTTTATCCACTGGGCAGAGGTGTTCTTTGTGGACCACTCTAGCTAGTGGTTTCCGATACCTTGTATCCAAAATTATAGCTTAGTTCATTTAACCTGAACAATGAACTGTTTTCCAAAGTACAGTTTGGCTAAGTCAGTTTTACGCTGTGGTAGAAGCAGCCCAGACTTCCCTTTCTTCAGTGTAATTTGGTTTCATAGGCATTGCTGACCTTTCCTGCTTCTGGGCTTTAGTGAGATCACCCAGCTTCATGCCGGTGGGGCTCCCTACCTTGGGTTTCTTGGGGCTCAGTGTCTCCCCTGGCCGTGTTTGCATTTGAAGACTTAGGTGTTGGATAAGCCACTCAAACCCAAAGGTTTTGTTTCCTACATCCATCTCTGAGGACATCATGTACCCACATGACTTATATTTGCATAACCAAGAAAACAAGTCCAATACCCTACATATACAAAGAATTTCTCTTGATATTAAGTTAATGTAAAATGTTGCAGCATAGAGAATTACCTCTAAGTAAGGGAAGTGGGTGCTGAAAGCTTTATTTCTAAATTAGTAATTATTTTAAGACTTTAAAAAATAATTGTTAAAATTAAGACATGTTGAAACATATAAATGTTTTATATATATTTATAAAAATATATTTAAGGCATTTATAAAAATATCTTAAACATTTATTCTGAGAGAAATGGAGCCTGTAGGACACTTTAAGTGTAATTTGTTTCTTTAATTGTTTAATTGTAATTTAAGGATGTGAACATAGATTTGTGCCCTTGAGCATAGGTATTAGTCTTGTTAATGTATTTGACCATTTTCCTTTCAGCTAATTATATGGACAATTGGAAGTGTACTGGTATTTTGAAAGGTAATGGGAGCCCTGTCAGTGGGAGTTCTCAGCAGGGAAACACAAATCCTTCCCTAGGTTCAAATATCTCAAATCTTCAAAATTCATTAAATGGATCCTCTGCTGGCAGGTAGGCTGTTTATGGAAAAACTAAAAATTCTCTTCTTTTTCAGTTATTCTGGTCACCATACTAAAGTGTGTTATTTAACTGACTTTAAGACTGAATTAAAAACTACTCACAGAAAAAATACATATTGTTGACTTTGTATTTGGTTTACTTCGTTGTGATATTTAACAGGTAGGTTGTGAGGCCATTAAACAAAATTATATTCTGAAATTTAGATGAAGACAAACTATGGGATGGAAAAAGTGAGGAGTTTAGTCATAGATTATTAGTGTGTTAGTAGTACTGGCAGTGTAGCCTTTGACTTGGGTCAAACTGAAAGTTTCAAATAAAATACATTAAGGCTTTGTAGAAGAGAGTAAGTTAATATTTTTGTTTGTTTAAAACTTTAATGGAGATTGTAAGAAGTAGTAAATTCTGAGTACTTTCCTAAAGTTTTAGGAAACTTCAAAGCACAACTTTAAAAACTGTCCTGTGGTTATTCTGTTGTCTTCTTAAATAAAAGAAGATAATTGTATTTAAAATTTTCTCAACTATTTTTATATAGTTGTATTTTTTAAAGAAGTCCTGCTATTTGATTTTGAGGTTTAAGTACTTGCAAGAAAATAGTTTCAGGTTACAATAGAAGTTATCGGATTATAAAGATGATTTCATGAGGCAAAGGATACTAGTGTAAATTAAAAGAAAAACAAAATCTGGGTTTTGATTGTTGCCTGTACTGCATATTTTCTGTTGTGAAGAACTTTGAAGTTTTGATCTGTATTCTTACTTTATTAATAACCATGTGTGTTAGATCTGTGATGCATTCTCTCTTCATTTGTATTATGTCCTTTAACAGAAAACACAGCTGAGTACCAGCTAACTGGAGTAACTTTGCTGTTTGCTGCTTGTTGCATGCATACGGGAATGGAAAGTGAGCTCCTTTTTCCCTATCCCAGCACCATTTGACCTCTCCCAAGATACACCAGCGGCCTGCTTACTACTAAATGCAATCCAAAGGCTCTTAAAAATACAGTATATATCTTTCCTTTGTATTAGCCAGGTTATTGACACTATTTGAAACTTTTGAAATACTAATGGAGAGGCTTTTCGTTCAGACACTGTAACCAAAACTTTTTTTGAAATGTTTCTGAAACTAACATGGGTTTTAAAATGAAAAGGATTATTACCATCCTTACAAGTATTTGGGAGGAGGGAAAATATCGCTTTATTTGGAGAATATAGGCCTATTTCCTTTGCTTTCTAAAACAGTAAGATAAAATGATGAAAGTGGATAATTTTAATTTGAAGATTGAATAGATATTTTTCATGAAGGTAGCTTTGAGTGTTAATTTGTTTACCTTTTGTAGAATTGGTGCGTACATGATATTATTCAGTACAACTCTGTCATTTCTTTATAATATTTTAAAAATATTAGTAAAGGGGAAAAAAGTACCGTATTTTTTGGACTGTAAGATACACCTAGGTTTTAGAGGAGGAAAATAGGAAAAAAATTTTGAAGCAAAAAATGTGGTAAAATATTTAATAACATAGATGGCATAATAGTTCACCAGTGTAAATGTAAACAGAACTCAGACACATTAACAACCATTATTTTTCCCAAATGGGGGTGGTGAGTGCGTCCTATAGTCCAAAAAATACGATAATAGTAAAATGAAAAACTGCACAGTTTGTAGCCAAATTAAACATTTGGTATTGCTTCATTTAAAGTTTGGTAGTGAAATGGAAACATCTTTGTAAGTTTTTGATTCCTATTTGCTAAAGAAATTAACATTTTTAATATGTGCTTGTATACTTTTATGGTGTAATTTGATGGTTTAAAGTTCACGTCAAAATTTGGAAACGTACTATAAGAGAAGCAGTTAAAATTTTGCTGAAATTGTGCATGCACATCTTCCACATTCTTTGTCCCAGAATTTTCTTAGTTGGCTGCTTCATATAGTTCATATCCTATAGAAATAAATGTGACTTTGATGACAAGGCTATAAATCTTTGTTGGCTAAATTAATGCACATAATTATTATTGATAATTTATAAAATGGCAGAAAACAATAGCACATATTCTTTGAGCCCTTTTAGTTATCAAAAGTTTGTGCTATACTAAGGTTTTTCAGAAAAACAACTAAGAATATTCAAAGATTGTTGTTCTTTGAAATCCAAAGTATATTTGAATTGGTTTTCAGTATCATGTTTGAATTTTAAAAAACTTTGTGCCTGCTGCTACTACAAATGAAGCATTGCTTAAAATAAAGAAAAAACTTATTAGATTTGTAAATTTACAGGATAGCATCAAATGTTTCTGAGAGATTAGAAAATGTTTTAAATTGTAAAATTTGTCCTTTGTACATTCATGCTGCTAATTTTTTTTGACATTTTAAGTTTAACAGATCATAGTTTTTTCTTTAAAATTTCTGTACTTATTTAGGCAAGCTTGGTTTGAGTAAGGATCTTAATTTTTGCTATTATGTTCTATTAGTTTTGGCATGAATATACTAAAGCTTTTTTTTTAAGCATGTGTTTTATTCTGTTTGGTTCTCTTTGTATTTACCACTTCTCTCTCTCTCTTTTTTTTCTTTTTCTGTGGTTTTGTTCTGTTTTGGTGTTTTCCTGTCTTCATTGTTGCAGATATTTCTTTCCCCTTCTGGATTCCCCAAGAGCTGGATCGAGATGGTCCAGTTATACACACCTCCTTTGTCCTCCTCTTCCTCTTGTTGTAGAGCACTCTTGTGATGTTGACACTGCCAACCTCCAATATCCTCACCCTTGCAGGCAATCTCTGTCTCAACCTCTTAATCTATTACTTGAGAATGAAGGGATTTAAAACACTGACTTAACACTTAAAGGCCTTTTTCAAGTGCTTGTAGATGCTTTTATTCCTGGCTGCTTTTTGTTTTTCTTCATTTTTCTTTCAGAAAATTTTTCTAATTAGGATCTATCTTACATGTACCTATATTAAAATTGGAACACAGTGTTTAGAACCTAAACATGTTTGTGCTTCTGCATCACAGGGGCATTACTTTCATTGGTTGATAATCTTTGATGAAAAGAGTTATGTACAAGTAATGTTTTAACTGTGATTCACCCAGTAGCTGACTTCATAGTGCCTGTTCTGTACATTTTATTTTGAACTGTTACATGATGTTAAGTTTCTAATGGTTTTGCATACTGGTTAATGTGAAAGCATATCATAAAGTTCAATCTGTCTTTGAGACATATTAAGAGATGTTTTTAATTTTACAGGGTAATCTTGAAACTGACCAGTTTGTAAAATAAATCATTCCTGTGTATAAAGCAGCAAAATATAATATAGACTGGTTGGCCTTTTTTTTTTTTAAACAAAGTAACTTGTTTTTACTGCTTGGAATTACTGTTTAAAGCTTTTGTAATTATTCTTTGAGTAGATTATTTAATAAAATATATTTTAAAAGATATGAATCTGTTGCCTTATAAAAATATAATGTATTCTAGCCCTGGCTGGCGTAGCTCAGTGGATTGAGCGCGGGCTGCGAACCAAAGTGTTGTAGGTTCGATTCCCAGCCAGGGTACATGCCTGGGTTGTAGGCTATAACCCCCAGCAACCGCACATTGATGTTTCTCTCTCTCTCTCTATCTCCCCCCCTCCCACTCTAAAAATAAATAAATAAAATCTTTTAAAAATATATATATATAATGTATTCTATTTGATAATTGGTAAAGCTTATGTCTCCTTAAAATATGTTGTTAAAAAACAGAATCCAAATAATCAAAAATTAGGGGGTGGGTATGACATTTATTTAGAAGGTAGAAAGGCACAAGCATGTAGAACTAATGACTTTCAATCTAATTAGACATTATTTTCTTTTTCTTTTATATTTTATTTTTATTTTTTATTTACTGGGGTGACATTGCTTAATAAAATTTTATGGGTGTCATGGGTTAGATTATTTTCTAAAATCTTTTTAAATTTTAAAACAATGTACTGTATTAATTATGATAAATGATATATATGGGTCTTGTAATATTCCTTTTGGTTCAGTTTTCTCAGGAGTTTTCAAAGACTTAACTTCTCTAGGGCTAGAGAAAGATGTAATTTGTTCATTTCAAATGTGACTATCAGTTAATCACACATAGATGATACAATAGTTATAACCATGTATTATAATTTATAATTTAATTTAAAGACACCTTTCCTGTGAATAGTGTCATATCCCTAGAGCTTAACATGCAAAGGATAAATAGCTGATAAGATATATGAGGTCTGTCTGGGAAAAGTCCAGTCATTGTTAATATAATGAGAACAGTTTGTACGACATCAGTGTAATCTGGCGGCCAGTGAGACTGAGCTAGAATGAGCATGTGTGAACAATGACGACTTCACTGTACTAGTCAGTGGGGGGGTGGATGCCATTGAGTGAGCATGTGTACTGTGTGGCTGTTGCATTCAAAATGACTGAGCAAGTAGAGCAATGAATCGGCAGCAAATTTTGCATTAAGCTTGGACATTCCTCCACCGAAACTATGTGGGTGATTTAGAAGGCCACAGCTATGGGCAACTGGTGATTGGCAGCTTCATCACGACAATGCATCTGCTCATGCATTTGGAATGCTCTCAGGTGCGACTCTTCCATTTGGGTTAGTGAATAAGGTTGGATAATACCAAATATTTGTTGAGTACCTCCACATGTGCCATTGTTCTTTTAGATACCTTATGTAAGTTGATTTAATTCTGACAACCAACCTCTGAGGCAGGTGCTTGAATTATCCCCATTTTACAGAGGAGGAAACTGGCAGCTTATAATCATCTGCCCAAAGCTGCACAGCTAGAAAGTGAGAGCCAGGATTGAGATCTAGGCCGTATGGCATCAGAGTCTAGGCTTTTCTGCCCGCAGGTTACTTTGGATTGTAGAGCCCTGTCACCAGTCTTGTTGGGTGTTATGGCAAGAGCTTGGGTAACTTGATTTTGGAGGGGGGGGGAGGACATTTATTAAGTTTGGCACAAGGGCTACAGAGTCTGGAACATATAGACACATTCCAGCAGTTCATCTCCAATGTATAGCCATGCTATAGAGGAATTAAAATACCCTGTGAAGCAAAGGGTTGCTCATTATACTCAAATAGCATCCTTTCAGTTCTAGAGCTAAGTATTTTTTGGGATTCAGAATATCTTGAGATTTTGTCCACTTGTGTTTGTTCATTGAGTGTGGAGAGAGGTAGAATAGGGGTAATGACACTTTGCAAATGTTAAGCTGGGAGGTTTCAAGAAGAGATGTCAAGAGAACTGTGGCAACATGACTCAAGAAGCCAGACCTGATCAATTAAAACAAATGTTGAAGTAGTGCCCAGGACCAACCTAATAACATGAAAAATGACAGTACAGTGTGAAAGTGAAGGCAATTAAGGATAAGAGAGACGATGGTCTTCAGGTGATAAAATAAGGAAGGGTGGTTTGTGGTTCAGATGGAGAGAGACAGCATTTCTAAAGGTAGAGAAGAACCAGGGTATCTAGGAATGATGGTTGAGTAACATTTTAGAGGTGGTAGTGATCGAATGAACATGTTTTCCCCCCACCAGGCTAAAATTAGGAGTAGGATTTAAATTCAACTATGCTTTTTCTTTTTTTTCTCTTCCCAAATGCACCGTACATCTTAACTACTGAATGAATGACATTAAGGAGTTAACTTGGGAAAAGAGACTACCTCTGAGACTGGAAATTTTGAGGTAAAGGAAATGAAAGGTGTGAAATTAAATTACCTATATGGTTTCAGTGACGGTAGTAACTAGGTAAGGCCTTATGCTGAGCAGATTGTCGGCGACTGGCCATCTGAAGAGGTTAGGAAAACGTAGGGTTAATTAGGGATGAATTTTGTCACATCGCCTCACGTTTCCACACCAGGCCAATAAAGACGCCATTTTGTAGTGAGCTATCGTGAAGCTTGGATCCCGAGGAATGATTTCCTAATTGGAGCTTGTTAGCAGTGGGTAACATGGACAAATCGTGAGATTTCAGCATCTGTCAAATGGTGATGGGTGGAAAAGATCTGCATAAGTTCATGTAAGCACAAAAAAGTGGCAACAATACTGAACTCGGGGTAGTATGGTCACAGGTGTGCACAGGTGTGCACAGGTAACCAGGTTCTTAGTGATCGAGAACAAAGAATTGAACCGAACACACAAAGTTTATAGCATAAAGAAAGAGGGGAGGTTTATTAAGTGATAGTACATACCACAGGACACGGGAGTGAGCCAGCTCTGAGCAGAGGAAAAAAAAAGGGCACGTGGGCTGGGGGGATTCTATTCTTATAGAGGCAGAAGCCCCCCTGCTAGTCTTTGGCGGGCTTTTCCTGCGCAGGTACAGGGAGTTGGATTTCAAAGCTACTGCGCATGCGTGGTTTCCCATGACTTTCTTGATTGGCTACTGGAGAAGGGAGTCCCACAATGTTATTTCATTATAATGATATTATAATGAATCAGGGGTAGCGCGCAGGCGCATTCTATGATTCAGAGTTGTCCCAGAAAACAGGAACAACCCGTCTTAGGGGGTCTTTGTCATGTATAGGTGTTTTCTACTTCAGCCCTGCGGGGCCTCGGAGCTTCCTTCCTGACTACCTCCTGCCTCAGTATCACTAGAAATATTTCTGTATATAAGGTGGGTGACGATGGTTTGGTTTCCCAAACGATTAGGTCGGCATTACTTTCAAGTCGTCTAAGTCTCAACACGCCGCTCTCGGTTAGGTTAGAGCGAGAAAGCCGTCTGCAGGTCTCTGGCACTGCTGAGCTCCTCCCACGCTGCAGAGCGCGCTTCTCGGCTTCAAATCTGTAGCGCGTCGTCCCCGCCCAATTGTGGGGCTCAGTACTTGCAAGGTCCCTTCGCGCTGTCCAATCCAAAGCCGTCCCTGAGTCCCTGCTCTTAGTTCTTGCCGCAAACAGACGTAAACGTGAGGGACTGCGTACGGCAGGCTCTGGCGGGGGCTGGTGCTGAGGAAACGCGCACGCGCCTTTGCAGCTCCTTGGGGTATGTCCTCCACGAAGTTTACACCGCGTTCTTGCTTCTGGAAGTAAGGGGATTAGGTGAGGAGGATCGGATCCTGTGTTTTGACATGAGGTTGGACCGGAGGCAGTCGAATACATTTTTGGCCGCGATTCGGCTGCTTGGAAGGCGGGTCAGTGACGGTTTGGGAGGGGTTGGGAAAGGGGCGCAGACTTCCGGGTGGGGGCTATGGAGGTGAGCCAAGGTCCGGCCGCTCAGTTCAATCAGTACACTGGTCGGGCCGCCACTAAGAACTCCGCTCCTGGAATTTAATTGGAGACCACCGTGTCTGAGACTCTTAGCCAAGGACTAGAGAGCGTCTTTGAAAGCAACGGGCTTTGATTTTTGGGGGATCACGTCCCGTGTTCCTTCCATATGGTGATTAACAAACCCGCTTTGCTCTGGAGTTTCTTGTTTCGTGTGTGATGGGTGGTTCTGTTTCTACTTTTTGTCTAAGATTCAGACCCAGGAAGTCATATTGTTAGCTAAATGCAGAAGGGTCTGCCAGTGTCACCCATTACTCACTTCTGTTTTGATTTCTGCTAAGCGGCACTTCCCTACACTTCTTGTGTCTGATTTATGAATAAAACGTGAAATAAGTCAATGCTTAATGCCATTTTATTATTGCTTTTTTTTTTTTAAATTTCAGACTTTGTTTAGTAAAACACGGGGTCCTTTTCGAGGTAGTCTTGTGGAGGACAGCTCTTTTTATGACAGTGTTTCCATTTGCTGTTAACCACTTTGAAATTGTTCACCTGGAGTT